TTGAGAATAGATCCAAATAGATCCACATAGATGGAGTAGACTGGTAATTGGGGCTGGAGAGCGGAACATGGAACAACTGCAAACAAACAGAAGCTATCATCTCAGAGATGGAAATATTCTAAAACTGGCCAAATGTGGTGGTGAACACCTACACCTATAATCCCAGCAACTTGGGAGGATGCAGCAAGAGGATCACATGTTCTAGGCCAGCCTCAGCAATTTATGGAGGCCCTAAACAACTCAGAGACCCTATCTCAAACAAAAAATAAWAAGGACTGGGAATGTGGCTCAGTTGTAAAGCAACCATGGGTTTAACCCCAGGTACAAAAACAAAACAAAACAAAAAAAGAAATGTTCTAAAACTGTATTGTGGTAGTGATGGTTACACACTTCTGCACACTGAGGAAAAGTTACTGATCTGAACTTCAAAATTAGTGAATTTTATGTAAACTAGATCTCAAGTCACTGCTACAAAAAATTTCCATACTGAATGAAACTAATGTTGCACACATGATAGGGTTGGTTGAAATTAGTAAGTTTTAATATAATTCTATTATTAAAGGTCAGAAAAAAATTACATGATATTATCTATAAAATGCAGGAAAGGAATTTAATAAACCTTAATACTCACTTATATAAAAGTACTCAAGAAAACAGAAATGAATGGATACTTTCTTATCATTATACAAAAGGGAAAAAAAGCCAGATATGGAGGGTCATAAAGCATATTCCATTTTCATAATATATTAAGAACAGGAAGGTTCATTGTGAGAGAAAGTAGATTARTGCTTGCCAACCATGGGGAGAAAGAAATGGGGAATGACTGTAAATGACACAGAATTTCATTATGGAATGATGAGTGTTCTGGATTGAATAGTAGTGATGGCTGCATAACCTTGTGAATACACTAAAAAACTACTGAACTATATGCTTTAAAAGTATAACTTTTATGATAGATGAATTATTATATCTCAAAAACAACAAAATACAATGAAAATAAAAAAGTGAAGAAATAAATAAACCCTATTTTTTTTTTTCTTACTTTGGATTTCCTAATGGTCCTCCTGCAAATTGGGAATTTCTGTCTAGAAATTCCTGCAAACCTTTCAGTTCTTGTAGTACTGACTCCAGAAGTTGGCAGGGAACACTACTTTCAATCTGTAAAACCAAAGAATTTTCAAAAGTTAAATACTAGAAAAGGTGTACACATAAAAAGTATAAATTCTGTATAGCTATAAATGTATATATAATTTTAATTTTGAGGCATCCTATTTTTGTAAATAGTACAGCTCTTTCTTATATCATTTCACTTCTTGTTATGCTGGGAATTGAACCCAGGACCTTGTGCATGCAAGGCAAGCACTCTACCAATTGAGCCTATCCCCAGCCCTCAATTCACTTCTTGAAGACCAGAATGCCATGAAGGACACTAGTATCTCTCATCTCCTGTTAAGACTGATGTATAATTTATGTTCAGTAAARCACAAACATTAAGTAAATATCTTGATTACTTTTTATATTTTGTGGTTGTCATTCAGATCACAGTACAGAACATTTCCAATACCCAAAATGTTTCCTACTGTTCTTTTCTGGCTCTTTGTCATCCCACCTCCAAGGTAACCTCTCTTACTTTTATCACTTTACAATAATTTTGCCTGTTATTAAACTTCGTGTACATGAGATAAATGCATTCTTATTTCCTCAGAAATGTGGGCTTTAAAAGAATATCACACAGTTGTGGCTCAGCGGTAGGGCGCTCACCTAGCATGTGCGAGGCCCTGGGTTCGATCAATCAGCACCACATGTAAACAAATAAATRAAATAAAAGTATTATGTTCAACTACAACTAAACAATAAATACTTAAAAGAATATTACAGGACTGGGGTCGTGGCTAAGTGGTAGAGTGCCTGCCTGGCATGTGTGAGGCCTGGGTTTGATCCTCAGCACTATATATTTATATAAACAAATAAAGTAAAACAAATAAAGTAAAAAAAAATCCATTGTCAATTAAAAAATATTAAAAAAAAGAATATCACATTAAAAAGACATTTGGTACCTTTCTGTTTAAAAAAAAAAAACTTAAAACATCTGCATATTTCAGATTCTTTAAAAGAAATTTTCCTACCCAAATCTGTGATAATACAAAATTTTACCAATTGTTTCCTTAAAACAGTCTGGGACATATTTCATGCATGAAAATTAGTACTGGGTCCTTGGAGGWACTGTATATATAAGCCAAAGCATAAAATAATAAATTCAGACAGATTTTAAATAATAGCACTGACTCTATTTACTCCTTACAACAACCTTATAAGGGAGATATATTATTAGTCTCATTTTATAGTGAGGCACAGGGCTTTGAAACATTAAGAAATTTACCCATGATCAGACAGTTTATAAATGAAGAAGCTGAGATTTCAATCAAGGGTGGATGATTTATTGAACATGAACACAAAAATCTACAGAAAAGAATAATTTATTTACAACATCAAGCAACGTGAAACAATTTAATAGTTCTATATTGCTACCAACTGGTTATATACAAAGAGCAGGATGATAGTGTATACACTTACTGCCATGATCTCTCTGTTGCCACTCTTGAATACCCTCTCCACAACCAAGCTAGCATCCCAGATATTTCTGAAACAAAAAAATGTTTTAGGACATCATTACCTTGGGTAAGATATGACTGCACAAATGGTATGGCTCTACATTGTGTACAACCAGAGCATCGAAATGTTGTGCTCTATTTGTGTACAATGAATTAAAATGCATTCTGCTGTTATGTATAACCAACAACAAAAAAAGGAGAAAAAAATGTTTTAATGATTGTATTCTTTACAAATAAGAAAAATTACAATATGTAGTAAATTTCTTTTTGTGGTAATGTAATAGCTTTATTGTTTTTAAAACAATAATATATTTTTTTAAATATCATTTAATATCTTTTTTTTAAGAGAGAGAGAGAGAGAGAGAGAGAATTTTTTTTAATATTTATTTTTTAGTTTTCGGCGGACACAACATCTTTGTTTGTATGTGGTGCTGAGGATCRAACCCAGGCTGCACGCATGCCAGGCGAGCGCGCTACCACTTGAGCCACATCCCCAGCCTAAAACAATAATATTTAACATTTACTAAGTGAGCTAGAAAAATGGAAAACGGGAAATTTTCAAACCAAATATACCCATTATTTCAGATGAAATTCTTCTGCAGAAAAATCAAAAGGTTCTGGGTAACAACTTATAAATAGGGAATTTATAATTTTAAAAAATTTATAAAGGGATTCTATACTGTTATCACATTTTTTTTTTTAAAGAGAGAGAGAGTATTTTTTAGTATTTCTTTTTTAGTTATCGGCGGATACAACATCTTTGTTTGTATGTGGTGCCGAGGATCAAACCTGGGCCGCACGCATGCCAGGCGGGCGCGCTACCACTTGAGCCACATCCCCAGCCCCCTGTTATCACATTTTTAAGCAAATGAGATGAATGAAAACATACATTAGAAATCTGAAAACTATATACTAGACTTGATAGCTAATTAGATGATATGATAGACTGATTGCAAAAACAGTGGAAATTCTCACCCTATTTCTATTCCATACAGAGTATGATTTTAATACCTCTTCTCTAAGGAACTATAGTCTGCTTCCCACTTTCTGAATCTGGGTTTGCCTTGAGACTTCCCTCTGGCCCGGGAATAGGCTGGTTCTAAGCCTAGGCATCAGGAGGCTTGGCAACTTCTACTCTTTCTCMAGGACCCTGCTATGAATAAGTGAGTAATCCTTGGCTAACCTCCTGAAAGATGAGAGACCTCATGGAGAACAACCAAGCTATATCAGCTGATGATATTCCAGACATGCCCCTGAATGTTTGAGAGTTTAGCCAAGAAAAAGAATTCTCTTTATTCTCACAGATGAATGTCTCTGCATGGGTGAGCCAAACAAACCCAGAACTGCCCAGCTGACATCTAGATACTTGTCACTGAATTATGGGGTGGTTTGTAATGTATACTATTAATATGTATATAGATATACTCTGACACTAAATACACACAGAAATAAAAACATAGTACTTAACAGACATATAATAAAAAGGCTTAGACAGATGATAGAAATTTTATCAATGGACAAATGAGTTAAAGTAAAATTTAATAGGAATAAATGAAGTCACAAATTTATTTTAAAATATTTCACTCTTCAAAATAGGAAAAAATACCCAGCTATTTGGGATGCTGCAGCAGGAGGATTGCAAGTTCAAGGCCACCCTTGGCAACTTAAACTTAGCAAGGCACTGTCTCCAAAAGACAGTGGTAGAATGCCCCTGGGTTCAAGGTTAAGTTTCTTATATCATGAGGGAAAAAACAAAAGGACAAATGAGCAATAGTTAAGTATTCCTTGAAAACTTACCCCATTATCCGAGAAAAATAAATGCAAATACCATTGTGTTTTCCAGAGTACACAATCTCTGGGCCAGTCATACAACTCATACTTGTGGCCTGAGCAGCTGGGTTTCCCATGGCACCCACAGGAGTTGACATAGCAGGAGGCTGTATACCTTAACAAATAAAAGCAAATCTCTTAGAAATATAATCCTAAATATTCAGAATTCTCAATAACCCAAGTTTTTTGTCTCTGGACACAAAGGTAGAGATTTTTATAAAAATAATCAACTAGATAGATATTTAATTTGATTTTTCTTGCTAAGACTTGGATGGATTCTCCCAGTTAGACATTCAAGTGTTGAAAATGCAGAATGAAAAGGAAAGAAAACTTGCAATCATAAATCCTAATACTGGAAGTGAAACAAAACTATACTAATTTCAGGGCCCACTTAAATCCTAATACCCAATAAGGGTATTTCCAGGCACAATATTTGAGGAGCTCCTCAAATATTGTGCCTGGAAATAAAGGCATTCATGGCCAAATGCCAATAAATGCTTAGATGTCAAGCAACAAAATGAAATCTATTAAATGACATTTTTTTTCCAAGAGAATAGGACAAGTTARTCTTTTACACAATAAAAATTAAGAACATGTTAGCTCTTCAAAAAGAAGAATAATAAGTGATCCAAAAAAAGAAAAGTGGTACCTTGAGATGGTGTTCCCAAAAAGGACAGATTTGGGTAGGGACTACCACTAGGAACAGGAGAACCTAAAAAAGAATATATTTATAAATCAAAATGAGGCCCAGAAGCTATTTGTTAAGCATGAGTAAAGAATGGTACCATCTATGATACATTTAAATTTTCTAGTAACTTCTTAATAATTCCTATTTTGGAAAACACTGACATATGAATTTCTTGTTATTGAATCTTTCATTTCTTTTCCATTCAACAAATACCAAATGATACCTGTAAGTACTATTTGGTTATATCTTCTTTTCCTTCTTAAAATAAACTAAGGATTCAACATTAATATCATCATAACAAGTCATAAACTATAGACTTATCTATCAATAATACAGCAGCAATAAAACAATGAAAAGCTTTATTGATTAAAATAATATAGCTTCTAAAATTCATACTATTATATAATAAAGTTTCATTTCAATGTTTAATACTCACTAGAATAAACAGGAGATCCCAAGATGGGACCAACATTACTCGGAGTGGGGAGAGTAGCTGGAAATCTCATCTGTGCTTCACCTCCGTACCTATTTGTATGAAAACAGAGGTTGAATTTATTCAGTGATCGATCTATCAATCAATCTATCTATCTTAAAAGCTGGAAATGTTCCTACTCCTGCTTAGCTTCCAAATAAATGTGAAGACTTTAATGCATGGTGCTGACAAGTGAGTTATATTCCTAGGATACATAATAAATACTGATTTAGTAAATGTTGACATAAAACCAGGGACTCTGATAACTTCTAATATATCACTGGCAACACACAGAGTTTACTTAGTGAGCAAATGGCACTGTAATTTTCCTAACAGATTTTGGCTATTTTTTTTTTTAAATCTCTTTGATGGCTGGAGTATAGAGTATAGCTCAGCAACAGAGCACTTGCCTAGCATGTCTGAGGCCCTGGGTTCAATCCTCAGTACTTCAAAAAAAAGTTAATAATAAAATCTCCTTTTTTGGGGGGGGTACTGGAGAACTAAACCCAGGGGCACTCTACCACTGAGTTAAATTCCACTCATTTTTATTTTGATACAGGATTTTGCTTAGCGGCTTAGGGCCTTGCTAAGTTACTAAGGCTGGCCTCAAACTTGCAATTCTCCTGTCTCAGATTCTCAAGTTATTGGGATAACAGGCGAACACCACAATATCTGCCTAATAAAATATCTTTTGAACCAAGTTTCCTTAACGTGATTCAGAACCCCATTCAGAACCAATTACACACATAAAGCAGAATTAGTAGTGTCTAAGGAAGTAAAAAAAGATGAGRGAGTAAATGAGATACAACAGTGAAAAGACTAAACAAAAAAAGYTAGAGAACAAAATTCAGACAAAGAGTAATAATGCACAAATTAATCTATCCCATGAGCATGATAATCTTTCCAGATTTTTACCCTTTTGAAAATGAATTTTAGTAATTTCCCTATGTAGTCATTCAACTCTCTGGCACACTGGCAAAGTGACCATTTTAAAAAGTGGCCCAGTAGGAAAAAACCTGAAATACCTGAAGAAAGCTCGTGTAGCCCAAGCAGATACTTCTCTATCACAAGCAGCAGTGGAGCAAGCAAGGATAAGGCAAGTTGCACAAGCCTGGTCTTCCTGTAGGAACAAAACAAAACAAAACCCCCACATTAAACAAATTTTGTTTATTGCTATATCTGTTGTTTCAATCTGTCCTTTGCACAAAGCAGATGCTCCATAAATAATGGCTGACTGAATGAAATCAGCTGGTATTTAAAAAGAAGCAAACACTACTCTTTTTACTTTCTTTCTTYCTTCCTTYCTTTTTTTTAGTACTGAGGATTAAACCCAGGGGAGCACTGCCATTGAGTCACATCCTCAGGCCTTTTTCAGATTTTGAGACAGGGTCTTGCTAAATTGCCAAGATTGGCTTTGAACTTGTGATTTTCCTGCCTCAGTGTCCCAAGTCACTGGGATTATAGGTGTGTGCCATGGCACCCAGCTAAGAGTTCACATTTATCAAGTCCACATCATGTGCCAGGCACTATTTTAAGAGTTTGACATATGTTAGGCCTTATACCACATAATTTTAATAATGCATATTTTACATTACAAAAAAATTGAAACCTAGACAATTCGAGTATCTAATCACAGTGGTGGAGCTAAGTTTTTTTTTTTTTTTATGGRTACCTGGGATTGAACTCAGGAACACTCGACAACTGAGCCACATTGCCAGCCCCATTTTGTATGTTATTTAGAGACAGGGTTTCACTGAGTTGTTTAGCACCTCACTTTTGCTGAAGCTGGCTTTGAACTCATGATCCTCCTGCCTCAGCCTCCCAAACTGCTGGGATTATGGGCGTGTGCCACTGTGCCCAGCAGAGCTAAGATTTTCAATAGGTGGTTTGTATGCAGGGTCTACATACTTAAATTTTTTTTGGATACTGGGCATTTAAGCCAAGGGTGCTTTACCATTGAGATACATCCCTAACCCTTTTCATTTAKGTCAGAGGCTTACTAAGTTGCTGAAGCCCTTGCTAAGTTGCTACGGCTAGCTCAAACTTGTGATTCTCCTGTCAGTCTCCTGAGTCACTGGGATTACAGGTATGCACCACTGTGCCCACCTCTACACTTAATTTTGATCTGATGTTCTTAATTTTAAACTAAGCACTACCAGTTTAAACCTTATCAATTCTAGGTGTAGCTTTGAAATACTAATGCCCCCACATTATCCCTTCAAATTTCTTCCTCAGATCATAAAGTGTGGATGCATGTGCATTCAAGCACATATCAGCCAATAAACGTACTGTCTCATGTTTTTCATAAAGAGTAATTATCATCTAACCTGACTACCAGACTCTTCTTTTTTTTGTGTGTGGGGGGGGGTACCGGGGATTGAACTCAAGAGCATTCAACCACTGAGCCATATCCCCAGCCCCATTTTTGTATTTTATTTAGAGACAAGATCTCACTGCTTAGTGACTCTCTAAATTGCTAAGGCTGGCTCTGAATTCATGATCCTCCTGTCTCAGCCTTCCCAGACGCTGGGATTACAAGCGTGCACCACCATGCTCAGCCCTGAATATCAGACAATCTTTAAGAGTACACTTTAATAAAAATTATCAAAATCAGAGAATAAAAATCTGAATGAAGTCTTATTCTACTATCAAAAGTCAGTATACATATACATTTATAATCATCACATTAAAAAAGTATAAGTATATCAATAATTACCTGATGTAACTTAAAGAAYCTTTCAATCTCTTCTCCATCTCCACCCACATTGCTCACAAGTAGGTGCCTTAGTTGATCTACAGGTCTTAGTTTATGAAACATAAGACTACCCTAAGAAATTTTAAAAAGGAAGAATGTGAGTAAACAGATTTAACAACCTTGGTTGGTAGCAACTGACTCTGCTAACCTTATTAAATCAAATGAAACAACAAGAAAATAACTTCAAGAATACAAAATAAACTGGTCAAAAAGATCATCTACATTTCAATTACAAACCTAAACTAGATTGAAAAAATTGGTAAAAATATAGTGCCCCACTCATGCTGCCCCCCAAACCAGAGGATTATAGACAGATTATCCATTAATTATGTTAGCACTATGGATATCCATTTGGATAAAAAGGAAGCTGGATCCAAACTCAGGTCTTATACCAGGATAAATTACAAATAGATAAAAGATTTAAAGGATAAAATAAAACCATACTAATACTAGAAGAAAAACAGAAGCAACAAGATGTGAATTCTGAGAGTAAGGAAGCTAAATGTGACATAAATTCTAGAAGATCTTCATTTTGATTATTTATAAACTTGTCTTTAAGGGAAAAATCTTAATGAACAAAGTCAAATGACAAATCAGGAAAAATACATTCCTGATTCATAAATTTCAATAATCTTCAGTATTTGTTTTTTTTTAACATTTCAAAAAGGCAACTCAATAGAAATATAAGAATAGTAGTCCCTCCTTATCCTCACTCGATACATTCTAAGACTCCCAGTGGATGCCTGAAACTGTGGACTATACCAGCAATATGAAACCATGACAGCTGATCTGATAACAAAGATACCTACTCAGTAACTAACATGAAGATAGTATATAGCCTGGATACACTAGAGACAGGAATAATTCATATCCCATGTGGACTGAAGCCAGAAGGCACAAAATTTTATCCCGCTATTYTGAACAACATGCAATTTAAAATTTGTGAATTATTTCAGAGTTTTCTACTAATTTTCAGATTGCATTTGATTAGGGGACAATGGAAACCTGAGAAAGTGAAAATGCAGATCAGGGGCACTACTACAGAGTAGGAACAGAGTGTTCACAGAATTTTTTTTTTTTTWAAGAAAGAGAGAGAGTGAGAGAGAGAGAGAGAATTTTTTAATATTTATTTTCCATTTCTCGGCAGACACAACATCRTTGTTTGTATGTGGTGCTGAGGATCGAAGCCGGGCCGCACGCATGCCAGGCGAGCACGCTACCGCTTGAGCCACATCCSCAGCCCGACACAGAAATTTTTAAAAAGTAAAATCTTACTCTTAATAAGAGGGTATTATATAATGGGGGAGGTTATGAGGAAATAGGCATTCACAAATACCATTAGCAAATATATTCAGGAAAATCTGTTCATATCTATTGAAACTATAAATACACACCCTCTATGACCAAGAATATACAACACTACTGCTTTACTCACACATATACAAAATTACATATGCATACAAAAAATGTAGCATTACTTTTAAGGGCAAAAGATAATCCACTAATAGGGGATTGGTCAAACATGGAATATCCACATAAAGAAATAACTTTCAAATATAAAACAATGAGAAAATATATTATATATATTAATTTGGAAAGATTTCCATGTCATATTTTTGAAATATAAAAAGCAAGGTACAGGACAGTCTATATTATATGCTACCAAGTATTTAGAAATACATTTGCATTGTTTGTATATTTGTAATAAATCCCTGAAAAGTMTATATAGATATGAATAACACAGATACTTGGAGGAAAGGGCACTGGAGTAGGAGGGGGATTTTACTATACATATTTCCTATGCTATACCACTTGAACTCTGTCAATGCATTAATTCAAATGTTAAAAATATCGAGAAAATGTTTTTTAATTAGGTGACAACTATAAGAAATATTTTTGGTTGTTAGTTTGAATGATATTGGCCAAATTATATTTTTATATCATTTGCATGTATGAATATGTAACAATCTCACCATTATACACAACTATAAGGCTCCAATAACAAATGTGGGGGGAAAAAAAGGAAAGTACAACTTTTTAAAAGAGTTCTTTTGGTGGTATATTTGGTATTCACAAACATTCTTTAAAATATAACCACTCCAAAGTGTTTAAGAAAATGACTCCACTAGGTAACTACTTCAGAATATTTGACAAAAACAGTAAACATCATTTCTCTTTTTTGTCTATACCACAGAGAATATGTGCATACCTGTGCTGAGAGGAGAACGAATTTCTTTGGAGGTAATATGTGTTGCTGTACAACAACTGGAGAGTCAGTTATTGGGATATGATCCTTATTTAAAGGTGTAATTATTTTATCTACTTTCAATTCATCTATTGCAGAAAGAGCCCAAGAATGACCATCAACACGGGTTGTCATCTATGTAAAACAAATACACTTTTTACAATCATATTTAAGTTATACAAACTGAAAGCTYCTGAAAATAAAATCTCTACAAAATGTCCTCAAAAGCATGTATTTAACTCTCTATTCTCCTATTCTTTTAATCAAAAATCTTTTATAAAATTATCTTTTCATACTAAAGGACAAATTCAAAATTTTCTTAAGATGAACTGTTAATTCTATTTMCTAGAATTATAATTCTCAACAACCAAAGAAAAACCATCTTTTACCAAATCTTCAGGATAGATTAATCTATACTAGTAGATTCAGTGCTTAGTTTTGCTGACATGTAGATTCCATTCTCTTCTGAAGTTCTATTTGTGCTTTCTAAGGTAAGATTATTTATAATAAATTTCAAGCATACAAATATGTTGGAAATAAAGGAAATGTCCATATGCTCAGTATAAAGTTCCAATGATTATTACCAATTTGCCATATCTCCTTTCTCTATATATCTTTTTCTACGTATCTCTTTCTTTTATTGAACCATTGGAAAGTTATAGACATCATATGTCACCCCTAAATTCTTTCACATACAGCTCCCCAAAATAAGAATGTTCTCTTACATAGCTATGATGGCATTATAACATTTACACATGTTAAAAATTTTCTAATATAATCCAATGCTCGGCCAATACAAAATTTCTAATTATCCCAATCTCTCTCTTTTCTTTTTTGGTATTGGGGATTGAATCTGGTGGTGCTCTACCACTGAGCCACATCTCCAGCCCTTTTTTATTTTGTTGCTAAATTGCTGAGGTTGGAATTGAACTTGTGATACTCCTGCCTCAACCTCCCAAGTCACTGGGATTATAGGMATTTGCCATGGTGCCCGGAGCCAATATCTCTTATARTTGTTTTTATAAAACTTAAAAATTTCATCAAAGTTCACAAACTATATTTGATGGTTGTTTTTTTCTTTTTAAATAAAAGTCCACATTTGAGAATAACTCTTGTATGACACAAATGAAATGATACTTGCCTCTAAAAAAAAAAGTTAACATTATTGAGTGTTTCTTATCTGCCAGGTGTTTTGGGAGGTTTATGTATGTGAACTCATTTAATCCCATAATAGTTCCATAGGTAGGTAGGTATTATTATAAATATAAATTGYCAACAACATAGAAAGTCCTATGCTGCACAGCTTAGAGGCAGTGAAGAGAGAATGCAAACCTAATCTTCCCACCCCTACCAGGACAGGTTTTATATCAGAGTTCCAAATTCTTCAATTTTATCATAGGACAAGGCTCATAGTAGATGCTTAGTAAAGTTTAAAGAATTAGAGAGAGAGAGAAAGGAAGGCACTTGTTACATTCTTATACATCCTCCTTCCACTCCAGTTCCTTRAACCAGGTGAGAAACTTGGTAGAGCTAATTCAAACCACACTCTCATTCCTGAGAGCTGGTATTTCCTTCTCCCACTTACACACATTTTCCCAGTCCTCACAAATTAAAACGATCACATTTGAGAATTACCAGGAAATAGCCAGTAACAGCTAAAAATAAGTCTCTGAAGAGACGGCCATAAAGGCAAAGTATCAAACATTCACACCCTAGTGGGTTTTTWAATTTTTTTAATTTTTATTTTTTTGTGGTGCTAGAGATTGAAACCAGGGCCTTGTGTATGCTAGGCAATCACCCTACCACTGAGCTAAACCTCTAATACCCCAATGGGATTTTTAATCTGGTTTGATAAATAGGGCTGGTCAATGGGGAAAGGATACCAAAAGGAGGAGAAGAGATGGTAGCCCCTCAGCTCATTATGGACAAGAGACTAAGATGGATGGCCCAGGTAGAACTACTGAGGCCCCTTACTCAGAATAACTATATCAACTTCATGGAAAATGTGGTTGTGTTCACAGCTAAACATTAGTATATATGAAGAAAAAAAAGGGGGGTAATAAAATGAAAAAAATGTTGGTAATTCTCTCTTATGAGGTTTAATTTGGCATTTGAAAATGTTTATAACTTTAAAAATCTAAAATTTTGGCAAAACTTCCAAGATAAAACTCTTTGTCATAACTCCAATGGATGTCCTTACAGTTAATATATAAACAACTAAAAATATAGCACATTTAAATGGGACAAAGATAATTTCAGAAAAGATACATTCATTTATTTTTAGGTACATTTGTTTTCAATATGATTTCTAACCAGATAGTATTATCAGAAGCAAATAACAACAAATCAGAAGATAAAGTTCTTTACCATATTATTCTTAACATACTCATTATATGTGTTAGGGGTGTGGCTCAGTGTTAAGAGAGCTTTACTAACATGTGTAGTGTCCTGAGAGATCAAACACAGGGGGAAAAGAAACACACATAAACACACACCAATTTATATATATATATATATATATACACACACACACACACTCATATAAATACATATACACATAAATATACAAATAAGTAGTTTCTTTAGAATTCCCTGGATAACTGGATAATTTACCTGGGTTTCCATCATTGGCTTTTGGAAAGGAAATGTATCATGGTTGACACACCATAAAACGTCATTATCCTCATTTTCTGAGGCTGCCATCAATAGAATACCTGAAAGTTTAATGTACAAAATTTTTTCATGATATCAAATAAAATGCATCCACAATAATCTTAATAATAACAATCACTAACATTATTATATGTTAATCTTTATAAGCAAACAAGTTACAAAGTAAGCAAATACAAAATCCTTGAAAGTAGGTAGAATGGGTAAAGTGATACATGCCTGTAATCCCAGTGACTTGGGAGGCTGAGGAAGGAGGATCAAAGTTCAAGGTCAGCTTTAACAACAAAGTGAGAGCCTCAAAATAAAAAATWAAAAGGGCTGGGGACGTGGCTTGGTGGTAGAGAGAGTACCCCTGGGTTCAATCCTCAGAACCATGAAAAAATAAATTTAAAAAAGAAGAGCAGGTAGAATTGTTAAGTAATCTCAATCTTATACTGCATTTCTTTCAGGTAAAAATTTACTTTTTTTCATGTTATAACATCTCTGAAGTTAAAATAATTTGTAATTGGTAGTTTTATCAATATAATTACTAACTTTATAAAAACTTAAGACATTAACAAATGTGCCTCCAATCAATGGTATTTAACACACAATGAAATAATGTATGCACCTGTGAATTCAAACGCACCATGAATAAGAGATGAATAAGAGAGGAATGTGCTAGTGCAATGTCAGAGATAAATGTGCTCTTAAAGCAGTATCTAAGCAAACCTAGATAATATTACAGTTTGATTTTAAAATATATTCTCCTATGCTCAATTCCATACTTTCCTGCTAATTTGCTCCTTTTACACTGATTTTGTGCTGTCATTCTTGAATCCACTGGATAGTCTTAGCTAAGGGGTCACAATTAATTTGTAAAGTATATAACTGGAAAAGTAAAACATATAATAATAAAGATGCAACACGGGGGCGCTGGGGTTGTGCAACATGTTCTAAATGGATCTATAGATGAAACTATTAAAATCCCACCTGCTGGGCTATGGCTCAGTGGCAGAGYGCTTGTCTAGCATGTTTGAAGCACTGAGTTTGATTCTCAGTACCACATATCATAAATAAAATAAAGGTCCATGGACTACTAAAAATATATATACATATTAAAAAAAATATATATATATATATTAAAAAAAATCCCAACTGCTTTTTTTACAGAAACTGACAGGTGTTCCTAAAATTCATATGGAAATGCAAGAAATTGCGAAAAGTCAAAAGAATCTTAAAAAAAAAAATCAAAAGTTGCAAGAATGACAACAAATTCAAAATTAGTATAAAGCAGAAATAATCAAGACTGTATCACCAGATATATAAATGAGACAGAACTAAGTTCAGAACCCATATATTTATAGGAAACTCATTTGAGACAATGAATGGTACCAAGGCAACTCAATGATGAAAAACAGTCTTCTCCTAAAACGATTAATGGCTTGAAAAACTGAAAATATACTTGCAAAAGAATGAAGTCCAACCCCTTCCTTGGGGCTGGGGGTAGAGTTCAGTGGTAAAGTACTTGCCTAGTAGGGGCCTGGGTTTGATCTCCAGCATCACACACAAAACAAATGAATTCTTCCTTATGTGACATACAGAAATTAACTCAAAACAGATCAAAGACCACAATGTAAGAGTGAAACTATGGAGAAGAAAATAGGAGAAAATCTCTGTGACCCTAGATTAAGAAATAACTTCTTAGATAATAATAAGTATAATGACAAAAGAAGTAAAAAATAAATGGGACTTCATCAAAATTTAAAACCTTTGAGCTGGGTACATRGTGCAAGCCTATAATCCCAGTGGCTCGGGAGGCTGAGGCAGGAGGATCATGAGTTCAAAGCAAGCCCCAGCAACTTATCAAGGCCCTAAGCAACTCAGCAGGACCCTGACTCTAAATAAAATACAAAATAGGGCTGGGGATGTGGCTCAGTGGTCGGGTGCTCCTGAGTTCAATCCCCATATCAAAAAAAAAAAAAAGGCAGAGAGTCTGAATAGTTATTTCTCCAAATAGACATACAGATGGGTAATAAAAATGTGAAAAGATGGCTCAACATTATCAGACATCAGGAAAAACAAATCAAAATCACAACAGACAGATGCAACAGGATAGAAATAAAAAGAAGACAAGTATCAGCAAGGTTGTGGTGAAGCCAGAATCATCATACAACTGAGAATGTAAAATGGTTTATTTGCTTTGGAAAAAAGTCTCATGGTTCCTTAAATGTAAAACACATTACCATACRATTGGACAATTCAAACCCTAGATATATACACATAAGAAATGAAAATATATGTTGATAAGGAAACTTGTACATATTTATAGTAGTAACATTCATAATAGTCAGAAATTATCAACAATACAAATGGCCACCAATTGATGAATAAAAAGTGATACATTGCCACAATAAAATATTATTCAGCAATAAAAGATGTACTGATATATCCTAAACCATGAATTAATCTGTATTATGTGAAAATCAAAGTCAATCATATATTGTATGATTCTACTTATCTGAAATTTCTAAAACAGGCAAATTATTAAAAGGGGGAACTGGAATTAGCAATAACTACTGATAGATATGGGATTTTTTCCTGGGATGATAAAAGTTCTCAAGTGAGTAGGTACTACTCTTAARTAAACTAAAAATGAATGAATTCTGCCAGGTGCAGTGGTGCACATTTATAATCCCAGTAACTCAGGAGRCAGAAGGATTGTAAGTTCAAGGCCAGCCTCAGCAACTTAGCAAAGCCCTAAGTAACTTAGTGAAACCCTGTCTCAAAATTAAAAGAAAAAAAAAAAGGACTGGGGATGTAGCTCAGTGGTAAAATGCCCCTACAAGGAAAAAAAGAAAGAATGAATTTTATAGTACGTGAATTATATCTCAATAAAAGCTATTACCTAAAAACATTATAATAATACCTAATAGTGTACATTTGAAAAACTTCCACTTGCAAAGAAAAGTTTCATCTGGGTGTTGAACAGTAAAATGTTGGAATAGACAGTATAWTAAGCACAGAAAAGGCCTTAGAATGATTAGAAAATAAAAACAAATACATTAGAAATTTCAAAAATGAAAAAAGTAAGTTCCAATGTTCCAAGTTTTGATGTTTAGTAACAGTAGGCACAGTAACAGTAAAGTTATTTATGTTTTTCTGATGAGTCTAAGAGAATTCAGAGAGTCTATTACACTGGGTATAATACTAATTTTGAAAAGTTGAGTTCACACGCAAACCCAACAACAGGCTAAAATTAAGACTAAAAAGTACCATAAAACCTACAGTTTTTATGTACACACCCACTGAAAATGGTTAAAATATAATATTAATATAAAAAAAAATGATTCCTGGAAAAAACCTAAAGCATTCCAAACTTTACTGAAAAATTTATTAMTGTTATTTTCAAATGCCTCAAAATGTCTTATAATTTTAATTTTTAAGAATGCCATCTTAAATCTGATAGTATTTCAGAACGTACCTTTACTATAAAGAGCTTTATGTACTTTTGAAGGCTTTTCCACTGTTGAAGATGCTGAGAATCCAGGAGGTAAGCGAATGTGAACCAGTGTCAGTGTATTAGGCCGTGCTAATGGCTGTCTAAATGGACAAGTGCTGAAATATAACCTGATACCTGATGATGGGGTAAAATTATGCATCAATAACAGAAAGTAAAAGAAACTAATGTACATGTGTATTAAAGCAATTCCATATAGAAACACAGAACTGTTAAAATCAGAAATTACTTTCCTCATTGATCTTAAATTATTAATTGGACTACCAGCTGAAACAGATTTCTAAGAAAATATCACTCAGAATTGAGAAATGAATCAACACATTTCAGTGTGTTCAGAACAAGCCAGGAAAGCCTGTGTTCCACTTCAGGTTATGACTAAGTGTGAACAACTTTAGCTTTCAGGTCTGGTTATACTTCTAAAAAATGAATAGACAGAATCAGAAGAAACTTCCATTTTTAAAAATTCTTAATTTTATGAATATCAATATGACTTGAAGACATTTCTAATCATAAATTTCAAAATCTAAAAATCATCATACTAACAGCAATAACAGATACAAAAATTTAAAAACCTACCTGCATGTGTGACAGCCAATAACTGACAGTCCAATGATTCAGAATTTTCAATCACTGCTATCTGAACAATTGGCTTAAAAACAGAACGATCAATGGTCCTAAAAATGAGGAGAAAAATAAACTTGTGTATTTCAAAAATGTGTCTGATTTATATAGTTTTCATCATTATATCCACATGTCTAAATATGCTAAACTAATTTAAATTAACCTCTTAGAAAAGTAATAAGAAAGAAGCAAAAACTCTTTTGACTATGCATTATTTAAGTGAATACTCTTAGGACTAACTCTTTTCAAACAAAGRTTGGAAGAAAAAGGCTAACACCACTGGGTGAATGGTTCCTGGGGAACAAAGAGTGCTCAAATTACCATTGTAATAAAGTAAAAGGGAAAAATGAACTTTTGTAATTAAGAGATTCGTTGAGTTGTGGGGTTTTTTTGTTTTGTTTTTTAACCAAAGGGAGCTCTACCACCAAGTTATATTCCTGGCTCTTCTTTTTCTTTCTTTCTTTTTTCTTTTTTTTAACTTTTGAGACAGGGTCTAAATTGGCCAGGCTGGCCCTTAACTTGAGATATTCCTCCTCCTACTAGGTCACTGGAATCACAAGTGTGTGCCACCATACCTAGATGTAATGAAGAAATTTGTAAGTTCACATCAACTGTGTAGTAAGTGTCTAAAAAAATTATTACTAAAAATCCAATTGTAGGGAAAAAAGACAAAGTCAGAAATAGGTACATGATAAAGAACTCCTGTTTCTCCCTCTCAAATGTCAACATTATAAAAAAGGCAAGAAGGGAGTGCTCTATATTAAAACCACCCATGCAATTCAAAAATTCCAACTGAAGAATTTGAAAAGAACAACTACAGAAATTTGGGGACAATTTTAATATGAACCATATGATTATAGTTAAAACACAAGATATTACAAAATTACTATTAATTATCTTAGATATAGTAATTGTACTGATGGTTACATATGAGGCTTACAGAGAAGAAGGAAGCTAAAGAACCTAAGGGTGAAAGGCATTATGCCTGGAATCTACTTGCTAATGATTCATTAATAAAGAGTGAGCAAATGAGGCAAAATGTTAACAACTGGGGAATTTAGAGAGTGAGTTTATCAGTTTTTGCCACATTTTTATTTAAAATTTTCTGTGGATTTGGAAAAATTTCCAAAGAAAATTAGGGGTGGTCTCAAACTCATGATCCTCCTGCATAAGGACTCCTGAGTTGCTGGGATTATCAGCATGCATCACCATATCCAACTTCCTTCAACATTTATGTTTTAGATATGTCTTGAAAGAATAATATTAGTATACTACTGCACATAAATGTGTTATTATGTCTGCCAACAAATGACATATTACCTTGCAATGTTTCCAGCAGCAGAGACAATAGCATTCTGGGAAACTGAGGCCACTCTACTCATTCCCTGTCCATCTTGGCCCAAGTCATAAACCTATGAATAAAAAAATTACTCTCACTTAAACATAATTATATACTGTATATATTTTGTTAGATAAACTTTTCCCTTTTAGGGATCCTCCAATTTTGTTATTTAATACGGGTATGGTAATGTTCATAGACTTAAAAACTCATAAAAAGAGGCCCTAAGAAGCAGTTTTAATGTTTTGGGTTTTTTTTTTTTAATTTTTTAATCAGAGAAATGCAAACCAAAACCATACTAAGACTGCATCTCACTCCAATTAGAATGGTAATTATCAAGAATACAAACAATAATAAATGCTGGAGAGTATTAGAGAAAAAGGTACACTCGAACATTGGTGGTGGGACTGCACCACTCTGGAAAGCAGCATGGAGATTTCTCAAAAAACTAGGAATGGAACCTCCATGTGACCCAGCTATCCCACTCCTTGCTATTTATCCAAAAGAATTAAAATCACCATACTATAGTAATACAGTCACCCAATGTTTACAGCAGCACAATTCATAATAGCTAATTTATGGAATTAACCCAGATGCCTATCAATGGATAAATAGATTAAGAAACTGTGGTATATATACACGATAGAGTTTTTACTCAGTCATAAAGAACAACGAAACTGGCATTTGCTGGTTAACAGATGGAAACAGAGAACATCACGCTAAGTGAAATATGCCAATAATAGAAAATCAAGGGTCCAATGTTTTCTCTTATTGTGGAAGTCAGAGCAAAATAAAGGAAAGGAGGAGAGGACTGGATATCAAGAAGATATAGTGAAGATCAGTAGAATAGAAGAAGGAGATTGAGAGGGAGAGAGACGAGAAAGGAAAGGGGAAGTAACACAGAATGAATTTTTTAAAAAATCAAGCTATATGCATATATGAATATACCACAGGGAATTTCACCTTTATGTATAAGTAGAAAGACCAATCATAAATACTAAATAGATTAGAGTAAGATCAGTAGACTAAAGGAAGAGAATGGGGGAAGGCAGGAGAGAAGGAAGTGGGGGAACAGGAACCAAAATAAAATTCCATGCATATACAAATTTGTCGAGATGAACCCAACTACTACGTATATCTATAATGCTCTAATAAAACACACATACACACACACACACACACACACACACACACAGAGTTAACAGAAAAAGTTAAAGTAACTAAATCTTTTCTACTCTTAAACGGTAGCATAACATGAATACTTACCTGTATTACTCCTTTCTCTGATCGTGTATATAAGATATTTCTAGAATTATCAATTGCAATTTGAACAATAGGGTCTAAAGGCAGAAAAGAAAAGAAGAAAAAAAACCCAACAATTAACCAAATGACACAGCAGCCATGTACAACAAATTTAAATTGCTGAATTAGATAGAACTCTCCATTCAGGGGCTTTCATTTCTCTTGGTTGGGGGTTAAATCCCAGGATATGTAAATGCATAAGGACCAATCAGGAAGCATTTAGATCAGACAACAGATGTCAAATACTATGACAAGGTAAGAACATCACAGAAAACTTACTCTAATTTTTTTTTTYYTTTTTTTTGGCTACTGGGGATGGAACCAGGGGCACTTTACCATCTAGCTAATATTCCCAGTCCTTTATATTTTGTGGTAACATCTCACTAAGTTGATGAGGCTGGCTTCGAACTTATAATTGTCCTGCCTGAGCCTCCTGAGCAACTGGGCTGTGTCACCATGCCTGTCTCTAAATGAATTTTAAAGAAAACAAAATACAATTTCTACAATATTTCTTCATTCAACAATATTTAATGTTTATTATATGCTAGAAACACAGAGACTAATTTATACTATTTTTTTCAGAAAACTTCCAATTTAATAATTCATTATGTGAAGGGAACACATTATTAGGACACATTATTAGGACATTTTAGTCAACAATGGATCATATATGTATAAAGTGATCCCATAAAATTATTATCACCTCATGGATGTTGTAGGCATCTTAGTTTCTATAAGTACAGTCTATGATGTTAGCACAATGACAAAATTACCTGACAAAGCATCTCTCAAAACACATCCCTAACATTAAGCAAATCATGACTAAAAATTCAGACATTGAAGGTATATTTATCTTATTTCACCAAAGCACTTAAAATCATTTCCTCTGTTTAAACCCCTCAGTTTATTAAAAACTTATATATATATAATATATATATATTATATATATATATTTTATGCTTGAAATTTATTATAGATGGCAAAACAGGTATTAGATGTCTGAATCAACTGATCAATCTCTCTCACACATACACCCACACACCCACCCATACATTTTAAATGTTTAAATATGCAGAGCTACTTTGGATACATTTTTCATGATTCTATGTGTATAAGAAATAAATAATTTGAAAATAAAACCATTCTTTTTCTACATTTTCTAATCCCTTTCTTTTAAAACATCTTATGAACATAATAAATGCTATTTAAAGTGACCAAGTAGGCTGGGGATGTGGCCCAAGTGGTAGCGCATCTGCCTGGCATGCGCGAGGCACTGGGTTCGATCCTCAACACCACATAAAAAATAAAATATAGTGTGTCCACCTAAAACTAAAAAAATCTATAAAAAAAAAAAATAAAGTGACCAAGTATGTTAATTAAGAATGAGGAGCTGGAATTGTGGCTTAGTAGTAGCACACGTGCCTAGCACACGTGAGATACTGGGTTTGATCCTCACATAAAAATAAATAAGGGTATTATGTCCATCTACAACATAAAAATAAATAAATAAGGGTATTATGTCCATCTACAAGTAAAATATATATATGAAAGAATGAGAGTGCTTGCTTCAGGAGGACATATACTAAAATTGAAATGATACAGAGAACATTAGCATGGCACCTRTACAAGGATGACACGCAAATTCACGAAGCATTCTATATTTTGGGGGAATGACAGTGGAATAAGATAGACATTATTATCCTCTATGCATGTATGACTACATTACCAATGTGACTCTACCATATTGGTGAAAGRAAGAAGTTGTGCTCCATTTGTGTACAATGTGTCAAAATGCATTATACTGTCATGCATAACTAATTAGAACAAATTAAGGGGAAAAAAAAAGAGAATGACAATGTCTGAAGAAAATGTTAAGTAAACAACATATTAAAAATTTGTTTTGGGCTGGAGTTGTAGCTTAGTGGTAGAGCACTTGCCTAGCATGTATGAGGCAATGGGTTCAATACYCAGCAACACATAAAAAAACTAAACAAACAAAATAAAGGTATTGTTCCATCTACAATTAAAAATTTTTTTAAATTTTGTTTTATTTGCCAAATTTGTTTCCTACTTACCATCTTCTGAGAATGTAAATTGTAGCAAGGAAGGAACAAGGAAAGAAAGTGAGCTCTTTGAGTGGTTTATCTTCCTACATCTTTGACTAAACCAACCTGCTTCTGCCTTAAAAGAAAAAAAAAAGAAGACTGATAAAGGTGTGTAACTTATAACAACTGCTGTATACTCAAGTCTTCATGTACCAAGGACTACAAATGAAGTAAGATCTGTCATTCAAAAGTAACTATTGACTTTAGTCCTATAATTAAAAATATCTACCAAATAAACTTTCAAGACATTATTGACAAGTCGAATGAGAAAATATAATCTAATAAAAACACATTAGTTTTAATAAAAACACTATGTGCCAGGTGCAGTGGCACACACCTGCAATCCCAGTGGTACAGAAGGCTGAGACAGGTGGATCACGAGTTCAAAGCCAGTCTCAGCAATGGCAATTGCTAAGCAACTCATCGAGACCCTGTCTCTAAATAAAGTACAAAACAGGGATGGGGATATGGCTCAGGAGTTGAGTGCTCCTGAGTTCAATCCCCAGGACACCATCTGTCCGCCCCCTACCACCACCCCGCCAAAAAAAGTACACTTCTTATTTACTAGAAATCACACACATAAGCACACATGCTTATATAAATACTATATATACACATATATTATTGTATGTATCATGTTCTACAAAGACATACACACTAGAGACCCTGGGTCCAATTTTTCTTATAAGAAATAGAACTAATAAATTTTTTTGACTTTGGGAAAAGAGCTGGGTTTTACAAATACAGAGTAGAGATAGAAGATTATAGCTTTAGTTGTATGCTTGAATATTTTCCACCAGAATATTAGAAAATTAAAAGCTTATCTTTCCCTACTTCATCAAGAGGGAGGAGAAAAAATAGAATGTTTATAAGTGTCAAACTTACTTGGTATGCTACTTCATATAAACAGCCATCCTTTCCAGCCAAGAAAATTCTGCCATTATCAGTTGATGTTATTGTTAAAAGGTAAGTATTATCAGTGGGAAGAGAATATAAAGGATCTGGAAGCAACTGCATTCCACCAGACATACTATCATTAAGAATCCCAGAACCTATTTTTTTTTTTAAGAAAAAGTACAAGAATCAGTTTATTAGTTTAATTTTAAAATGACCTTTATATTATTTTCAAAATTGATTTTATTACTGAATTCTGAATTCTTATTAATGTACCCCAAAACTTCTCTAGTATACATTTTAAAATTACTATAMAGTGTGATACCAATAATTTGATAAATTCAAATAAATAGAAGCTAAATAAATTTTGGCMAAGATTGTAAGGATTTGGCAGTAATAATCATTAATTTGACTCACTGGAATTCAACATTTTACCCAGATTGATTTTTAATTATTATATTAATTGACCAATGTATTGCCATTTTAAAAACCAAAATATGGATTACCATACCTGTCTGCAAATTGGCATAACTGAGTCCAAGAATTACTATATCCACRGGGGTTGCCAAAACCAAGAGGTGTCGTATATGAGGCTGAAAGATGCCTAAGGTAAGGTAGACACAGGGAAGAAATTATTTKCATGTAAGCATTTATAGAATATGGTTTTACCTTTAAAATGAGTTACTAGTTAAATAGCAAATTAAAAAATCTGAATCTAGCCGGGCATAGTGGTAAATGCCTGTAATCCCAGAAGCTCAGGGGMCTGAGGCAGGAGGCTCACAAGTTCAAACCCAGCCTCAGCAACTTAGCAAAATGTTAAACAACTCAGKGAAATCCTGTCTCTAATAAAATATAAAGAAAGGGCTGGGGATGTGGCTAGGCAGTTAACACCCCTGGTTTGATCCCTGGTACAAAAAAAAAAAAATCTAAATCCAGTTAATTCTGGTGTTAAAATATTACTATGCTTGATCATTTAAATCAGTAAATAGTAGTCGAAAAGAACTACMTTAGGAAACATTGAGTTCAATATTTAATGTCATTTAAAAGCAGTGTTACAATACAAAATAGTTTAGATTTATTTACCTTTGTTCATTTATTTTCCAGTACTAGTGACTGAACCAAGGGGTATACTACCACTAAGCTATATCCTCCATCCTTTTTATTTTTGACAAGGTCTCACTAAGTTGCTGAGGTCTCAAACTTGAGATCTCTTGCTTCAGCCTTCTAAGTAGCTGGGATATCAGGTGAGAGACACAATGCCCTGCTTATMACACATTTTTTGAGAGTCAGAGTTATCGATACTTTTTAGTAGCAAAGCTCATAATAGTTTAATCATCAAAGATAACACATTTGTCTCAAATTAAAGACTGCCACAATTTCAATTGTGTAAAATAGCATTCTACTTATCTGTTTTAGATGGGTAATTTGTATGTATTACAGCAGAGGGCAGAAATGGTCATTAACTTTTAAAAAAAAAATGTACATTTTTATAACTTTATTTTTTTATATGGTGCTGAGGATCAAACCCAGTGCCTCACCCTGCTAGGCAAGCACTCTACCACTGAGCTACAGCCCCAGTCCTATCATTGACTTTTATATGAATAAACTTTTAAATGAAGAAACAGGACATAGATAAAGACATCAGGATAAAGACTGTTTAGACTCTATGTAAGGGGAAATACATTTCCAATAATGAAATCAAATAAACAATGTACAAAAATGCATGTTTCTACTTGCATGAATAGTTATAATTTCAAAATGGCTGCAATCTTAAAAAATTTTTATGTAGGCCTTGCCAAGAAGTAAATTTTGCCTAATGCTATCTCTTGTTGGAGGGTGCATTCATGGATATATATTAAAGTTAAATCAAACTATTGWTTATCAGTATCCTAGATAGAAGATTTGGTATTATGAAACTGATAGTATTAAGTTACACAATGCTTTTAATTTCTCTAAGGTTTATTCTGAACTTTGTTCTTACTTCTACGGGCTGTCAAGACCAAATAAGCAAAATAAAGTTCAAGAATATATACTTTAACATTTAGAAGATAAGAATAAGGGGCTAGGGATGTAACTCAATGATAGAGGGCAATCCCAGCACTATTAAAAAAGAGAGAAAGAGAGAGACTTACATCACGAAAGTAAATAAACAGTTAAATATTCCTAATCATTTTCTATTCATATTTCTAATTACATGTAATTCAGAATAAAACTTCAATGGTAAATTAAAATATTTTAAATGTATTATTTGGTCCTAAAACATTCATAGTCTATGTATATACAAACATAAGTTCATCTCTTATATTTTTATTGCTTACCAGCTTTTGGTTTCACAAGTCCCACAGCAAGGATTGTCTCACTAAGTCCATCAAAATAGGCAAGGTCTCCTCTGTCAATAATCGAAGAAAAACATGTTATATGTACAAAGAAAACACAGTCTTATTTTATAGCTCTTTATTGTTGAATAAATTTAGACATAGAATATAATAAAAAATAAATAAACCAGCAAACAAAACTAGTTYGGTCCCAAGATTTAGGGACACAGACCTGACTAAGGCTAAACCTGAAATGGGAAAACTATACCACATTGCAAATCTCTCTCCAACAAGGCTTCAAACATTTATTATCATCAATCTATTGCTAAGACAGGGGAAAGAGTGCAGAGAGGACTCTCTTAGAAGAAGGGGTTCACAGGGAAAGCCTAACAATGAGGGTAGAACAGGAATATTGAGGGAATAAAAAATCTCCAGTAACCCAACCTGCATCCTAAGCCTAAGAGAATCTGGTACCTGTAGTACTCTGAGAGTAACTACAGCCACACACAAAAGCCAAATGCAGTTGTTTCCATGTTGGAAAAAGCCAACTTTAAACTGGGCACACTTGTAATCCCAGCAGCTTGGGAGGCTAAAGCAGGAGGAGTGCAAGTTAAAAGCCAGCGGTAGCAATTTAGTGAGGTCCTATGCAACTTGGCAAGACCCTTTATCAAAAAAGATGGTGATGTGGTTCAGTGGTTAAGAGCCCTTGGGTTGTTCAATCCCTGGTATCAAAAAAAAATCYTTCCACAATAAAGGCCTTCTTACTATACCTCAGCAAGAGAAGAGGCACATCCATTTATAAAGACAACTTCACACAGTATCTACTGTTCTTCTTCTTCTTTTTTTGGGAGGGTGGTGGTGCTGGGGATTAGAACCCAGGGCCTTGTGCATATGAAGTAAGCACTCTTCAAATTGAGCTATATCCCCAKCCCCAGTATCTACTGTTCTATGTGTGATATCTGGCTTTCAGTTAAACAAATGAGGCACAAAAAGCAGGAGAGAGAAAGAAAATCCAACTGTCAAGAAACAAAGTAATCAACAGAAGCAGACAGCTATAAATCTAAAGTATCAGACAAGGAATTTAAAGTAACTATAACCAATACAGGCTGTAATGGAAAATTTTCTAATGTACAAAATGCATAAATGAGTAAAGTACTTCAACAGAGGGCTAAGGACGTACAAGATACTAGATTCAATCACCAGCAACACACACACACAAACACACACACAATCAGAATTTCAGCAGAGATGAAAATTATAAAGCCAATGAAGTGTTAGTATTAAAAAAAAATTTTAAAAGCACAGCTCAGGGCTGGGGCTGTAGCTCAGTGGGAGAATGTTTGCCTAGCGAGTGTGAGGTGTGAGGCACTGGGTTCAATCCTTAGCACCACATAAATATAAATAAAAGAAAAGGCATTCTGTCCATCTATAACTATTAAAAAAAAAAAAAAAAAAAGCACAGTTCAGCAGGAGGCTGAGGCAGGAGAATCACAAGCTCAAAGCCAGCCTCAGCAACTTAGTGAAGCCCCAAGAAATATTTACAGACAACAACTAAAAAAAAGAGCTTTCTTTCCCCTCTTCCTTYCTTCCTTTCTTAATTAGAGCTTTATAGTTATACAAAGGAGTTGGGTTCGTTTTGACAAAATCATACATGCATAGAATTTTACTTCAATCCCTGTTCTTCCCAATTTTTTCTCACCTCCTCCCTCTTGCTATTGTCCTTCCTGTACTTACTGATCTTCCTTTTGCTCATTTATTTATTTATTGGCACTTTYTACATATACATAAAGGTGAAGTTCATTGTTATATATTCATATATGCATATAATACAATTTTGTTAAATTTATTCCACATTTCATCCCCTTACGTGTCCTCCCTCCCTCACTCTTTCTTTTCTTCTACTACTCTATTGATATTCCCTGTATGTTTATGATATCAGATTCCCCCTACCACCTTTTTGTTTATTTTGCTCTACTTTCCACAGAGGAGAGAAAACATTCAACCCTTGATTTTTTGAGATTGGCATATTTCACTTAGAATGATGTTCTCCATTTCCATCCATTTATCAGCAAAGGCCATAATTTCATTCTTCCTTATGGCTGAGTAAAACCCCATAGAGTATATATATAACACATTTTCTTGACCCATTTATCTACTGATGTCTTGCCCCCCTTTCTATGTAAAGACAAAGGAAGATGGCTACCTATGTACTGGGAAGTGAACCCTTATCAGACACTGCATCTACTGGTGCCTTGACCTTAAACCTCCAARAAAATATGAGAAATAAATCTGTGTTAATTGTAAGTTTCCCAGTATTCTGTATTAGTGACTCAAACTAAGACACAAAGGAAAGTTTGGCTATTTGTTCTATGTGGACTGGGACCACATTAACCTTATTCAGCACTTTTCCTAGCACAACAATTCAATAAATATTTGTTAGACAAATGTTAGCTGTTAATCAAAATGCAAATATTTTATTAAAGTAAAAATCTTTTTAAATAAAATGATTATTCTCACGCTGAATTATCCTGCAGTTTTTCTGCACTGGGTTTTCTCATACACATACCTAAACAAAAAGGTCTAATTCTTTAGTAAAAAAAATGAATATGTTCTAGTAACAACATAGGAGCAACATTCAGGGTACACAAAGAACAATCACAAGCACTCTATTGTGGCTATAACATTTCAATATAAAAATAGTTATGGAAACTTGTAGTTTAAAACCTAGTTTCCATTAAGCTACAAGTTGACAGACGGTGTCAATTTTGATTCAATGACATGGGATCTTTTTTACRYATTTTTTTTTCTTAATACTTTTTTAGTTGTTGATAGACCTTTATTTTATTTATTTATATGYGGTGCTGAGAATTGAACCCTGTGCCTCAACACATGCCAGGCAAGTGCCCTATTGCTGAGCCACAGACCCAACAGAATGCATGTGTTTTGTTCTTAGAAGAAACATTAATTATTCAGGGGCAAGACTGAACTACACAGGCCTTCCTATGGTTATCCCACACCTCAGTTAAGGATAATGATGAAGAAGTGGAAGCAAAACAAAATTTATTTGTAAAAGGCCAAGAGGGAGATCAATATGCTTTATTTAAGTTCAGATTGCCTTGGGCCTTCACTGAGACTTTACTATATATATTTAATTTGCACACAAAATCAAGACTACAAAATGACAACAGAACTTTTCTTTTTCCTGGTATGGGATTGAAACCAGCAATGTTTACCCACTGAGTCACATCCCCAACCCCTTTTCAAAATTTTTTATTTTGAGACAGTGTCTCACTAAATTGCTTCGGGCCTCACTAAGTTGCTTCATCTGGCTTTGAACTTGTGATCCTCCTGCTTTAGTCTCCCAAGCTGCTGATATTACAGGAACATGCCACCACACTGGCCAAAATGTTTAAGTCACTTCAATAAGTTATCAGATGCCCACACTTAATAGAAATACTAGGAAAACAGGGGTCTTTCAAACTGTCAAATCAATTCTCAAAAAAATTACCAATATACTATATTTACTACAGGTTAAGAGCTAGGAACCTAGAACCTGCTATCCAAGCGTTGTACTTAGGGTTGGGGATGTAGCTCAGTGCTAAAGGTTACCTAGCATATGCAAGGCCCTCAGTTCAATCCCCAGCACTGGAAAAAAAAAAAAAAAAAAAGTAGTATTTAAGACTAGCAGCATCACCTGGGAGCTTGTTATAAATGAAAATTCTTGGGCCTAATTCAGAACTCCAAAAACAGATTTCATATTTTAACATCCACAATGACTGGTATGCATGTAGAGAAACACTGACACAGATACCACATAAGAAAAGACAGTTTCTGATGAGTAGAACACTAGCTGCAATAAGCAATAAAGGTTAACTGAATTCCAGTCACACCAAAGCAAACAAGACTTTAAATACATACCCATCCTCATAGTTCCACATGAATATGTCACTATCAATTGTTAGCCAAGCTCTGCTGATGGCAGGAAAAACTCCCATCATGCAGTTACACTGCATATCTGATACAGTATGAATGTAAGGTAGAAAGAGTTCAATTTCATTTCTCTTCAATTTGTTTCAAAAGTATTTTTTTAAATACTTTTTTTAGTTGTAATTGGACACAATGCCTTTTTTTTTTTAATTGTTATGTGGTGCTGAAGATCGAAGCCAGCGCCTTCATGTGCTAGGGAAGTGCTCTACCACTGAGCCACAATCCCAGCCCCATTGTTTCAATAGCTTTTGACGTAAAGTTTACGATTAAAAAAWATCATGATATGGGAACTGGTGACATACCTGAGGGGAAAAGCTCTTGACTACCATATGTAAGGCCCTRGGTTCTGCTCATTTTTAATATGAAGAGCAAACTACCCATGTATTTAAATGTATTTTAAATAAAACTCTTAAATGAACTTATATGCAATACTAATTCAAACCCAAATCAAGAATTATAATATTGAGGGCTGGGTTGTGGCTCAGTGGTAGAGTGCTCGCCTAGCATGCACGAGGCACTGGGTTCCATCCTCAACACCACATAAATGTAAAATAAAGATATTGTGTCCACCTAAAAATAAAAAATAAATATTTTTTAAAAAAGAATTATAATAATGAAAACACCATTTTAACATTTTTTCAAATAGTTAAATAAGAAGTAACAGGATACGTCCAAACTGTTCGACAAGTTCAGGTGGGAGAGGAACTCTTCGGATGGAACTGATCTCTGGAAGATTGGGTACTGATAGCAAACCAGGTCCTTGTAGAGGATAATCCATATCTGACATGCCTGAAACAGTGGGATTACCTACAAAAAATAAAATGAAGCATTTATTTATGATAATAATGTATGCTCATCAATTGGGCATACAGAAGCATTTTAAGCTCCCCCACACCACATACACAAAAAGAGTGCATGTGATGTTTCTAAAAGTACAAAGAGAATAAAGGAGTCTTACCTAACATAAACTGGGAGAAATTCCAGTGTTGAGTGGGCAGTTACTATTTTCAACCCTGACACAAAGGTTATGGTTCACAAAAAAAATACAAATAATACTATTTGAGTAATATCCTACTGGGAGAAAAACCACAGAWGCTCTTTAAACAGTGTTCTCAGTGGGTAACCTTTCTCTTATTCTAAGACTCAGATCACTAAGAATTATTCTACTGTTTGTCTTACTGATCCTGAACATTAGAACCAACTGACAATTATCCCAAGTACCTTTTCAGGCTCTACAGAATACAATACAAAGATGTTGGGGGAGGCTGGGGTTACGGCTCAGTGGTAGAGCGCCTGCCTCCCACATGTGAGGCACTGGGTTCAATCCTCAGCACCACATAAAAATAAGTAAATAAAGATATTGTGCCCATGTATAACTAAAAATTTTTAAAAAAGATGTCGGGAGAAGCTGACATATAAAGCATTTTTTAAATGTATTATGGAAGTTAAAAAAACATTTACAATCAATTCCTATGTACTGATTATTCACCTTCAACAATTACCAATAATATGCACAATGTTTACGTCCACTCCTCCAATGGATTCTTTTTAAAGCCAATTCTAGACATTCCATTTAATCCAAAGAAAAATGTTTTAATAGAACAGTGCACATGATAATGGAAATGAAATTCCAAAAGGTGGAATTAATACTTTTAGTGAGGATGGGAATGGTTAAGAAAGCCTTCAGAAAGACTTAAATTTTTTTTTTTTTTTTAGTTATAGATGAACACAATACCTTTATTTTATTTGTTTGTTTTTTATGTGGTGCCAGGAATCGAATCCATTCTGTCTCTCACGCACGCTAGGCAAGCACTCTACCACTCTACAACTGAGCCACAACCCCGGCCCTTCAGAGATATTTTTCCAGGGAGACTGGAAGGAGTCTGTTAGATAAAGAATGAATATGCTAGAAATTATATAGCGTATAATAAGATCCTGAAGAAAAGTCTTCTTATACAAGACATGTTAAGCTCAGGGTGACTAGAGGCATGAGCAGCTCAGAAAGGCATTAAGAATAGAATGCAAAAGAAGGGAAAGAGATTAAATTAAAAAGGAAAGTGTTTGTAAAGGGATCTGATATTTAAGAGGACTAGAATAGAGGGACTCATTTTACATCTTCTTTTCAAACCTAAGGAGGCCAATGTGAAATCACAGTTGCTAATAGGCCAATCCGACTTTACAAAACAAGCCCACTTGTAAAGGTCTGCCAGAGACAAATATTGTCTGTTTCTAACATTTCTAATTACAAGTATCTCAATTAGAGATTTTTATAAATTGTCAAAGGTATTTTTGGTTTACATTGCACATATTATCCTGGTTAAATAACCTTGGTTCTTGCTCCAAAAATCTCATCTATACTTCTCTTAAACATCTCTGCTTTTCTCCAATTTCCAACTCACAAAGGACTCACTTCTTTCATTTATTTACTTATTTATTTATTTGGTTGTATATGGATACAATATGTTTACTTTATTTATTTATTTTTATGTGGTGCTGAGGATTGAACCCAGTGCCTCAAACATGCTAGGCAAGTGCTCTTACCACTGAACCACAACTGCAGCCCCAGGACTCACTCTTTTTATCAACTGATGGAACTCCCTAAGCCCGGAGGAGTAGGTTAGAATTTTAAAACCGTTAAACGAATAACTTGCCACTCATCTCTCTTTTGTTGACAACATACCTTGCCTTACCCTCCCTGTGTATTTACACTACCGATTTCCCTGTTCTTTTCCTTTATCACACTGGGTAGATGACACCTCCCAGCACTTACACATTACACCAACTGTACATACAGTAAAACATATCTTTGAAAGAACGTAATAAGTTTCCAAATCAACTGTTTGCTCTTTTGATTTGCTCAATTGTTAATACAAGGAATGAACAAAGATGGGACTTAGGTCAGGAATTCTTTCCTATCTGGTCTTGGTGATAAACACTTGAGGGCAGTGGGAAGATCTTTAGGGAGGGCTAGGGGAAGCTTGCTCTTCACTCTTATCCTCTCAAATATCTACAATGAAGAAACTAASTACAGGAAAAGAACCGAAAAGAGGCTATTTGTTGTTTCTCAAAACCGCAATAAACAGCGCTCTAAACCTCAGGATGTCTTCGCTGGGACCAAGTTGGAGCCAGACGACAGCCCTTTCGGCTGAGAAAGCAGGGGCACCAAATGGACACCGATCACTCACTTGGRGCAGACACCATGAGCAGCTCAGAAAGGTCCGGGTACATGCGGTCTTCTTGCAACTGACGGTCGATAAGCCGCCCCGCATTTTCCAGAGCTTCCTGCAGGGCTGAGGCCGACGTAGAGGTCGGCATCACTGCACCCAGCAAAGAGGACGGCATGCCGAAAATCGTAGACAACAGAGTCGACAAATAGTCAAATCCCAAGGAGAAAGCCCAGAACACCCAAGAAGCTAACTCAGTTAGGCTGCTTGGGGCGCGCGCGCCTAACGAGCTCCCGGGCGCCAGGTCATGACGCACTTCCGGTTCGTCCGGGAGGGAACTGGAAGACGCCGTGGTGGAGCTGGGCAGGGGAAACAGTTAAGGGGGCGGAACCTGGGGGCGGAGCGAGGGGGCGGGAAGCTCTTTGGAGGGAACCCGGTGAAGGCCCTCCGAATGGGCTAGGGAAAAGTGGGGAGAGGTCGTCCAGGAAATAGAGGAAGGGGGAAAGGGGAAGGGGTAGGAAAGGAGTGGGGAGGGCGGGGTCGGGAGGGATAGGGCGAGGAAAGAGGGGAGGAACCGGGGTAGTGGGGTGCGGAGGCGGGCGATCGGGCTGTTCTGGTTGCGGTGGGTGTCCTCGCGTGCCGGTCCCTGGCCTCGAGCTTCCGAAATCGGAATCCAGCAACTGCAGTTATTTGAGTATGCGCGGGGTGGGTGGGTGTTGCCATTGGGTGGGGGGGCAGATCAGTTACCTTCGTGCTCTAAACTTCCAACAATGGCTAGGAATTGGTAAATTGTTTGAGACAGATTTCTTGTGAACCATAATTTCACTGTGTTTCTCATGGACCAGGTGGAGTAAATTAAAATTCGTTAGGGTTTGCGTATCTTCCTTTTGGGCTTTGTTATTGTAAAACATTAGATGTTTAAGGAGTTATCGCGTTGTACACGGGGGTCACTGTGTGCATTTTCTCTCCCGTTACACAGATGGAAAAGACTGTTATAATTCATCTTTTTATCCCCAGTACATAGTGCATGAATTGGTATAAAGTAGGTAACCAAAAGATCATCCAGATCTTTTAGGACAATGAATATCTATTTTRTATCTGACATATGCCTGCTGCTGAGAATATCAAACACAACATTCCTGTTCTCAGGTGCTTCACACGAAGCTATTCAAACGCATCACTATAATTTTTCTGATTAGTGTGTAAAAACTGCAGTAGGACAATGAGAGTTGCAAAGAAAGCCGAGAAACTCCATTTCCTAAAGAAAACAAATTGGATAAATCAAGGCACCCATTTTCTTTTTTTTTTACTATTATCATTTTTTTAAATATTTATTTAGTTGTAGATGAACATACAATATCTTTATTTATTTTTATRTGGTGCTAAGGATGGAACCTAGTGCCTCACACTTTTGAGGCAAGCACTTTACCACTGAGCTACAGCCCCAGCCCCAAAGGACCCATTTTCAAAAACAGTCCTTATTGAGAACCTCACCTAAGTAAGCATCATCCAGTTCTTCATAATTTGTTTAATCAACAACTGAATTACTCTAAATGGGTCATTTAGCATTTGAATTACCCCCAACCCAGTACTATGGATTGAATCCAGTGTTATTTTTATCCACAGTCCTGATTTTGAGATAGG